ATTCAACGCCTAAGTGAATACAAAACATATCAAAAACATATCAAAATAGTGTGTCCAATTCTGGGCACCACAATTGAAGGGAATGTTGACAAGCTGGAATGTGTCCAGAGGAGGGCGACTAAAATGATCAAGGGTCTGGAGAACAAACCCTATGAGGAGCAGCTTAAAGAGCTGGGCATGTTTAGCCTGAAGAAGAGAAGGCTGAGAGGAGACATGATAGCCATGTATAAATATGTGAGAGGAAGTCACAGGGAGGAGGGAGCAAGCTTGTTTTCTGCTGCCCTGGAGACTAGCATGGAACAATGGCTTCAAACTACAAGAAAGGAGATTCCACCTGAACATTAGGAAGAACTTCCTGACTGTGAGAGCTGTTCAGCACTGGAACTCTCTGCCAGAGTGTGATGGAGGCTCCTTCTTTGGAAGCTTTTAAACAGAGGCTGGATGGCCATCTGTCGGGGGTGCTTTGAATGCGATTTTCCTGCTTCTTGGCAGGGGACTGGATGGCCCATGAGGTCTCTTCCAACTCTAGGATTCTATGATACTATGATAATCTGGATGCATTTTAGAACAAACCTTCAGATACTATCAGGAAGATTCAAAATAATTTTGTTCACTTCCGCCAGACTGAGCTGACCTAGTCGCTTCTTTGCATATGCTTCTTGGCAGGGGGTTGGACTAGATGGCCCATGAGATCTCTTCCAATGAAAACTACAACTTCTGTGATTCTATAGCCTTGAGTCATGACAGCTAAATTAGTGTCAAATTACATTCATTCCACAGTGTAAATGCACCTGTGGAGCTAAGGATCAGAATTCAAATCTTCAATGGCTATGGAAACTTACTGGGTAGCCTTGAGCAAGTCACATCCTCTCTCCTGTGATCGTTTGAAATGGCTCCAAGGCACACAACAAAAATAAGTTTAGCCATTGGTTGGTGGATTCTGGGTCCTGCAGTCAACAAGTTACTTTACCCAGCTCAGGCCTGTAGCTGGGGGGGGGGGGGTGCTTGAGGGGCTTCAGTCCCCCCCCCCCACCAATTCTCAGGGTTGAAGGCCTTACTGGTTCAATATTTAAACTGTTATGTTTATTCATATCATGATCTTGATCACCATATTCAATATATCCCATAAGAAGGTTTTTTAGGGTAGACCCTCTTTCACTCAGAGTCAGCCCCCCCCCCCCCAATCAAACTCTCCCCCCCCCCCAATCAAAATCCTGCCTATGGGAATTTATCCAGCTCTGTTGCAGTCAAACCATTCAAGATCAACATCTGTGGCAAACGTTTGGCAGGGATAAGGGACAGGGCCTTTTCAGGGGTGGCCCCTCGACTATGGAAAACTCTTCCTAGGGATATTAGATCAGCCCCCTCCCTCTTAACATTCTGGAAAAGAGTCAAGACTTGGCTGTTTGAGCAAGCATTTGAAAATGCAATGTAAAAGACATAGGAATATGGAACGACTGGACGATGAGATTGGACAATGTTTTTAATTAGGAGACACAACTGATTTATGTTTTTACTAGCCGTCCCCTGCCATGCCATGCGTTGCTGTGGGGTTCTGTGTGGGAGGTTTGGCCTAATTCTATCGTTGGTGGGGTTCAGAATGCTCTGTGATTGTAGGTGAACTATACATCCCAGCAACTACAACTCCCAAATGTCAAGATTCTATTTTCCCCCAGACTCCACCAGTGTTCACATTTGGGCATATGGAGTATTTGTGTAGAGTTTGGTCCAGATCCATCATTGTTTGAGTCCACAGTGCTCTCTGGATGTAGGTGAACTACAACTCCAAAACCAAAGGACACTGCCCACCAAACCCTTCCAGTATTTTCTGTTGGCCATGGGAGAACTGTGTGCCAAGTTTGGCTCAATTCCATCGTTGGTGAGGTTGAGAATGCTCTTTGATTGTAGGTGAACTATAAATCCCAGCAACTACAACTCCCAAATGACAAAATCATTTTTTTGAGTGAAGGACATACACTGGGCTGTTAGGTGTCTTGTGTCCAAATTTGGTGTCAATTCGCCCAGTGGTTTTTGAGTTCTGTTAACCCCACAAACGAACATTACATTTTTATTTATATAGATTGTTCTTGTTATGGTTTATGGTGTTGTTGGGCATTGAATTGTTGCCTCTGTAAACCACCCTGAGTCGCCTGAGGACTGAGAAGGGCGGTATACAAATACAGTAAATAAACAAACAAATAAATAAAATCTACATGGACATCACCCACCGTATGAAAGCATCCTTTTCTCTCTTTTTTGTGCCTTCCTCTGTTTTGCAACTTTCACTATCATAGGCAGATAAAACGAAGATCACCACTTCCTGATTTCGCTCCATAATTCACTCTAATCTGATTTTTTGAGAGACAAGGACTCGGATCGCCGCCACCCGCCCGGCTGAAAGCATTCACAGACTGGGAGCTAATGCATTTTGCCCAAGCCGCCTTCGGTTGCCCTGTAATTTCTTCCATCCCTCAAGAGAAAGAACCACGAAGCAGAAGCGAGGCACAGCCAAACCATTTCCTCCTTGACTCAACATTTGTCAGGCTGAGCACCTTTCACAATGAAATATATTTTAAGGATGGTATTTTCCTTTGCCATGCGCCCAGGCACGCCATGTGCATATTTATCAGAGAGTAAGTCCTATTTTGGGTTTGCTTCCCAGTAAATAAGTGATGTTATGTCAACAGGCAAAAGCCATGTTGCCTGTCGACTTGAATTTTGTAGTCTTTTCTTATGCAAGGAATCCTCAGAAGTAGTTTTGCCAGTTCCTTCCTCTGAAATATCGCCTATAGCACATGGTATTCAATGGCAGTCTCCCATCCAAGGAATGTCCAGGGCTGACCTTGCTTGACATCCAGGATCAAACCGGATCTAGTGCCTTTAGGACAGCGTTTCTCAACCTGGGGGTCGGGACCCCTGAGGGGGTCGTGAGGGGGGTGTCAGAGGGGTCACCAAAGACCATCAAAAAACACAGTTGTTGTAGGTTTTTTTCGGGGTGTATGGCCATGTTCTAGAAGCATTCTCTCCTGACATTTCACCTGCATCTATGGCAAGCATCCTCAGAGGTTGTGAGGTCTGAAAGCACAGTATTTTCTGATGGTCATGGGGGTCCTGTGTAGGAAGTTCAGCCCAATTCTATCATTGGTGGGGATCAGAATGCTCTTTAATTATAGGTGAACTATAAATCCCAGCAACTACAATTCCCAAATGTCAAGGTTTGTTTCTCCCAAACTCCACCAGTGTTCACATTTGGGCATACTGAGTATTCATACTCTTTGATTGCAGGTGAACTATAAATCCCAGCAACTACAGTTCCCAAATGTCAAGGTCAATTTTTCTCCAAATTCCACCAGTGTTCACATTTGGGTATATTCAGTATTCATGGGGGGTTTTTTTATTGTAGGTGAACTATAAATCCCAGAAACTACAGTTCCCAAATGTCAAGGTCTATTTTCCCCAAACTCCACCAGTGTTCACATTTGGACATATTGAATATCCCTGCCAACTTTGGTCCAAATCCATCATTGTTTGAGTCCACAGTGCACTCTGGATGTAGGTGAACTACAACTCCAAAACTCAAGGTCAATGCTCACCTAAACCTTCCAGTATTTTCTGTCGGTCATGAGAGTTCTGTGTGTCAAGTTTAGTTCTAATCCATCATTAGTAAAGCTCAGAATGCTCTTTGATTGTAGATGATCTTTAAATCCTAGAAACTACAACTCCCAAATGTCAAGGTCTATTTTCCCTGAACTCCACCAGTGTTCACATTTGGGCATATTGAGTATTTGTGCCAAGTTTGGTCCAAATCCATCATTGTTTGAGTCCACAGTGCTCTCTGGATGTAAGTGAACTACAACTCCAAAACTCGTCAATGTCCTCCAAACCCTTCCAGTATTTTCTGTTGGTCATGGGAGTTCTGTGTGCCAGGTTTGGTTCAATTCCATCATTGGTGGAGCTCAGAATGCTCTTTGATTGTAGGTGAACTACAGGGGCGGTTCAACCCATTACGCAAAGTAAGCATTTGCAGTATAGTTGATTTTGCCCAGGGGCGCTCTTGAGGTGCTCTTTGGGGGAAAATAGACCTTGACATATGTGAGTTGTAGTTACTGGGATGTATAGTTTACCTACAATCAAAGAGCATTCTGAGCTCCACCAATGATGGAATTGAACCAAATATGGCACACAACGAACAGAAAATATATATCAGTGATTGGTTTGGGGGGGGGGGAGGGGATGGGGCACAAGATATTGTTTGCTTACCATTGAAAATTACCTAGGGCCGCCTCTGGTGAACTATAAATCCCAGCAACTCCAACTCCCAAATGACAAAATCATACTCACACTCAACCCCTTCAGTATCGGGTATTTGTGCCAAATTTGGTCCAGTGAATGAAAATACATAATGCATATCAGATATTTACATTACGATTCATAACAGTAGCAAAATTGCAGTTATGAAGTAGCAACAAAAATAATTTTTTGGGTGGGGGTCACCACAACATGTGGAACAGTATTAAGGGGTCGTGGCATTAGGAAGTTTGAGGAACACTGCTACAGCACATGGTATTCCATGGCAGTCTCCCATCCAAGGAATATCCAGGACTGAGCCTGCTTGGCATCTGTCATGGCATTAGGAAGGCGGAGAACCACTGCTATAGTACATGGTATTCAATGGCAGTCTCCCATCCAAGGAATATCTAGAACTGACCCTGCTTGGCATTTAAGATCTGACAGGATTTGGTGCCTTTAGGATATTCAGGTAAACAGGTAGGTTACGATGATGCAGTGCAATCTGAAGCATCTCTACTCACGTATTCCCTCCTCCTTGTACTATGAGTGCAACGCAAGACAGTCTTCTAAACTTGCTTCCCAATCATCTAATATATTACTATTAAACATATTCTATATCTGGGAATGAACCCACTTCATCTTCAGTAAGACTCACATCTGGATATATACATATACATACATAGAAAAGTTCAGCGCCACGGCAATCTCACCTTAAATTGGCACAAGCAAAGGGTATTTCTTCTCCTCTCTCCTCTCTGCAATGGACTGTTTTTCTCACTCTGCCTTTCCTCTCTTGCTTGCTTTCTCTCTCTTCCCGCTCCAAGCAATGTGGGTGTCCTCACACAGAAAGGCACACAAATACACTCCAGGCGCACATCCTTGACACCCGAAGGCAGGAACTCAACTGCCCACTTTCTTTTTTGCAGAACCTGAAACTCCAAACTAAGCTTCTCCTTTTTTTGGAGAAAACAAAAACAAGTGTTTTAAAGCACGACCAAACACACAGCCAACAGTTTCTGCTGCTCCCAACGCACACACACGCACACAAACCCAGTGCAAGGAAGGAAAAGGGTGGGGCATATCAGAAAATGCATCTTAATATTTCATCTCCTATCAAATATTCATGCAGCCAGGGCCGTGGGAGAGCGTTCCTTGGTAGCGAGGAAAGGATGTGCCAGGCAACTGGAAAGAATAAACCACTAGTCCTTCAACTCCAAGAAGGAAATCTTAATCTAGATATCATGCACTGAAGAAGGCATTATTATTATTATTATTATTATTATTATTATTATTATTATTATATACACAATGAGATTAGCACACAGCAAAAAAAGATCAATATGCTGCTTTTGTATTTGATCACACGTCAGACACTTCCCAAGTGTCTAGGACTGTGTGATGTATCTGTGTGCAGATCTGAGTAGGGTGGCCTTTTGCAGCTGACAGGTAGTAATTTTGTCAGTGCCGATTGTGTTTAAGTGCAGGCCAAGTTCTTTAGGTACTGCACCCAGTGTGCTGATCATCACTGGGACCACCTTTACTGGTTTGTGCCAGAGTCTTTGCAGTTCGATATGTAGATCCTCATATCGTGTCAGCTTTTCCAGTTGTTTCTCTTCAATCCTGCTGTCACCTTGGATTGCCACATCGATGATCCATACTTTGTTTTTTAACACGATTGTGAGGTCAGGAGTATTATGCTCCAAAACTTTGTCTGTCTGAATCCAGAAGTCCCAGAGTAGCTTGACGTGTTCATTCTCTGTAACTCTTTCCGGCTTGTGATACCACCAGTTCTTTGTCACAGGCAGATGGTATTTGTGGCACAAGTTCCAATGAATCATCTGAGCAACGGTGTTGTGCCTCTGCTTGGAGTCTGTCTGCGCGATCTTCTTGCAGCAGCTGAAGATGTCATCTATTGTTTCATCTGCTTCCTTGCAGAGTCTACATTTGGGATCTGTCATCGACTTTTCAATCCTGGCTTGAATGGCATTTCTTCGAATGGCTTGTTCTTGGGCTGCCAGAATCAGGCCCTCCTTTGTCTCCTTTTTCAGACTTCCATTTGTGAGATACAGCCATGTTTTTTCTTTGTCAATTTGGCTCTCAATTTTTCCCAGGAACTGTCCATGGAGAGCCTTCTTTTGCCAGTTTTCTCTTCTGCTCTGGATTGTGTTTTTCAGTATCTCCTCTTTGTCTTTTGCACTTTAAGCAGTTTACTACTATTGACTTCCCTCAATGTTGGTTCTTGACTGCCTTTCACATAATCTGCCAGTGCGCGTTTCTCTTCTTCTACCGTTTGTTTCACTTGCAGAAGCCCTCTGCCTCCTGATTATCTGGGCAGGTCAAGTCTGTTGACATCACTACACGGGTGTAATGCATAGTGGACTGTCATCAGTTTTCTTGTTTTTCTGTCCAGATCAGTGAAGTCCTCTGAGGATGCTTGCCATAGATGCAGGTGAAACGTCAGGAGAGAATGCCTCAAGAACATGGCCATGTAGCCCGAAAAAACCTACAACAACCCAGTGATTGTAAAGTATTGGTAAAGTATTGTTGAAGGCCATGAAAGCCTTCAGCAATACTTTACCATCTTGCTTTTTCAGATCACATTGAACCAGAAGCTGCTGTATTCACAAGACTAAAAGTATTTGAAATATACACTTAACAACGATTTCTATTATTATTAAAGGGAAGGATGGTGAGATGGCAAAAATGCAATTGTCGCATTAGATCAAAGGCAAGCCTCCAAAAAAATCCTTGGTGGGAGAATTGATCTTGTTTTCTGCGGCAGGGGACCAGAGGAATGAGCCCAAAACACAGCTCCAGAAATCACCTGTATGGAAATTTCCAAAATGTGAGAATGGGGAGAAGAGTGCGCCTTTGTAAGGTAAATTCAGAGCTGCAGGGAAGACTCGGGGCAAGAAAGACACCTGAGCAAAACAAGGACAGTTCATTGAGGGTGGCAAGGCCAGTTATTCCACAATGGTTTAAAGATTGTCTTTTCTAATTGTCGTCCCCCTCCCTATCTCTTTCTCTGAACCTGTTTGGAACCTGATTTGCAAAGATCTTGGGTATGAGGGTGGGCAGATATGGGAATGAGTTCCACGCCAATGAAACAGGGGTCTGTTGTAATCCAAGAGCCTATAATACTCAGTAATAGGGATACAGGGTGCATCTACACCAGGCATGGGCAAACTTTGTCCCTCCAGGTGTTTTGGACTTTAACTCACACAATTCCTAACAGCCGATAGGCTGTTAGGAATTGTGGGAGTTGAAGTCCAAAACACCTGGAGGGACAAAATTTCAGCCTGATGGAGATGCACCCTTGGACTATAAAGGTTTAAGCATCTGATTGGAGGTAAATTAGAATCTTACAGCCCTTAGGTGCCATTGGACTTCAGCTCCCAGCATTCTTCCTTAATGGTTATTCTATCCAGGACTTCTGGAACTTACAGTCCTTATTGCAGTCAAATGCTCTTCTGCTGAGCTATACCCCCAACAATAATGCTCTTTGGCAGCCACCTCTCCACAAAAGTCAACATTGACACTGAAACACAACACCGCCTGAGCTCTGCGAGTGCAGCTTTTTTCCGAATGAAGCAGGGAGTGTTTGAGGGATAGGGATACCAAGGGGTTTGTCTATAAAGCTATTGTCCTCCCAACCCTACTATACGCCTGTGAAATGTGGACTATCTACAGATGTCACATGCAACTCCTAGAATGATTTCATCAGCGCTGCCTCCAGAAAATCCTGCAAATCTCTTGGGAAGACAGGTGGACAAATGTCAGCATGCTGGAAGAAGCAAACACCACCAGCATTGAAGCAATGGTCCTCCGCCATCAACTCCGCTGGACCGGCCACGTTGTCCGAATGCCAGACCACCATCTCCCAAAGCAGTTGCTCTACTCCGAACTCAAGAACAGAAAATGGAATGTCGGTGGGCAGGAAAAGAGATTTAAAGATGGGCTCAAAGCCAACATTAAAAATTCTGGCATAGACACTAACAACTGGGAAGCCCTGGCCATTGAGAGCTCCAGCTGAAGGTCAGCTGTGACCAGCAGTGCTGTAGAATTTGAAGAAGCATGAATGGAGGGTGAAAGAGAGAAACGTGCCAAGAGGAAGGCGCATCAAGGGACCGCCATCCACCTGGAAACCAAGACCTTCACTGCGGGAGAAGATGCAGATCAAGAATAGGGCTCCACCGCCAGCACACTGATCTTGGAAGACTATCTTACTCGGACAACGAAAGATCGCCTAATTAAGTAATAAAACATTGTTTATTTGTTTACAATCCAATAATATATGGAGGACCCCATTATTTCCACCCCTGATTTAAATTCTGGTCTTAGTAAGACTGTTACTTTTGAACAGACTTATTTATGGAGTAACCAATTTCTCTGGATCCAATCTAGATCCTAAAGCTGTGATTTGATTAGTTATTATGTGCCTTCAATTTGACTTGTAATAACAACCCTATCCAAAGGCTTCTTGGCAAGGTTTGAGATTGAGGGGTGTGATTTATCCATGCTCACCCAACAAGTGGGGATTCGGACCCTTGTTTCCAGGATCTGAGTCCAACAATCAAACAATCGGCTCTTAGTAATATAAGGAAAGAAAGGTTGATAGTCTTATACTGGAGCTGTCAAAATAACGCACAAGCACACACTTTGGCACCCAAGATGTTTACTCAGCACCAAGTGAGTAGAAGGAAGCTGAGGTTGGCATCACTTCTGGTTGAATGGATTCTCTGGAATCTTTCCAATCTGGGTTGGTAAGGTACACGTAAAGGTTTTCCCCTGACATTAAGTCTAGTCGTGTCCAACTCTGGAGGTTGGTGTTCATCTCCATTTCGAAGCTGAAGAGCTGGCGTTGTCCGTAAACACCTCCTGTTGGGAATCAGCCTGTGTTAGTGTTTCAGGATCCTGGTGTGGGAAATGATGAGGGAAATGATGAGAGAAATGATGGTGCTGAGGCTGAGGTACAAGATGGAGATGGTTTGGTCAATGATTTTCAGGCAGACAATGACAAAGAGGCCCCAGTGCAAAGGGCAGTTTCTCATGAGAATATTCCTGCTGGGCCTAGCAATGATGGTTCACTCCCTCTTTCTGTGACCTCTCAAGATTTGGGTTTGGAAAACAATGTGACAGCTGGGAATTTTAATGAGCAGCCAGATAGGGAGCTGAAGAATAGGCGGCTGGAGATTAGCCAGGATCGACAGCAAACTCAGTATTTACGTCGCTTTGAAAGGCTTCGTCTGATAAGGGGTAAATGTGGGGAAAAGCAAAACCAATTTCTGAGTTTTGGGATATAAGGTTTGCCTCAAGGGGAAACCTGTTAGATCAGGCATCGTCTGGAAATCAAGTTCATGTGCCATGGAAATCTTGTTCAAGGGGTCTTGTTCTTATGGAGATTTTTTAGCCTTTTGGGTTGTCTTTGCATCTTGTTGGATCCTGTCTGGATAAATGCTGTTTTGGATTCTTTTTATATCTGGTGTGGACATTGCTTAGTGTTATTACCTTTTATGGACTTATTACTTTTTGGAACTTTCTTATTTTCTTACAAGCATTTATTTCATCTGGCTATTTACTAAGCTTCAATAAAAGAAGATTTGTTTCTTCATTCTTCGTGTGGTGTGTTTTAAAGTCAGAGGGAAACACCTCCAAGGTCACATGGCCAGCATGACTGCATGGAGTGCCCTTACCTTCCTGCCAGAGTGGTACCTATTGAGCTACTTGCATGTTGACAGAAGCTGGGTCTGAAAGCGGGAGCTCACGCTGCTCCCCGGATTCGAACTTGCGCCACTGGTTGACCTTCGTGCATTTGGACTTGGCAATAGGTTAATTACAGGTTGGGTAAATAGCTTTCGTCTGTCCATCCGAATTGTCACACTGACCCAACTTGCCCAATGGAAGGGCCGGAAGGATGCAAAAGGAAAGCAGGACTTGAAAGACTGGCCTGAGCAGAACGGAATTGATTCAGGGCAAAAGTTTTCAGATGAAGAAACTCGGGTGAGAAAGGCAGCTTTCTCACCTGGGCTGCTGTTACATTGAGTAAATATGCATTGAGTAAGACAGGAAACAAAGATATG